ATCTAATTACCCCTACACATCTCTCACTTCTATCTAATCGGCTTTGGTATTATCTCCCTCGTAAATTACATCTCCCAGGTTGTGTAGAAAAAGGGATCGTTGTCCATTACATTTCGTTGAGGACGTAGCTGGTGATGTGTTTACCGTGGGATTTGGATTATCTTGAAATGTGTTTGACTGCCCTCTGGAGTCGCGGTAGACGGCCTCATCTTCTTAGGTGACGGGAGTATCCTGGAGGCTGCCTGTCAGTTCCTGGAGGTGGCGGTCAAAGTGGGTACGACTCCTGGTGAGTTTCCTGTCGCCCATATCTCTTGTTGGCCGAATTGGCTTGTTTGATATATGAAGTGCTATGCTGGAATGCTAGTTTACTGGCATGAAGGGAAGGGATGGGAGCAATTTTCTCTCAGCATCAGCACTGCTGCAAGAGAACGAGTGTACTCTTGGATACCGAAGATGTATAGTCTCTCTTTTGTTTATCGTCAGGGCTTCCTCTCTTTTTCCCCCTTCCCCTCTTTTTCCCCCTTCCCCTCTTTTTCCCTCTTCCCCTCTTTTTCCCTCTTCCCCTCTTTTTCCCTCTTCCCCTCTTTTTCCCTCTTCCCCTCTTTTTCCCTCTTCCCCTCTTTTCCCCCCTCCCCCACTTATTTTTTAAGGAAAATTTATCCAGGGTCATTTACTAGACTCGGCGAGGGGCTTCACGGCCAAGTTGTATGCATTTGCATCAATATCTTTTAAAAACGACAAGTTGATAATTGAGACACTCTGCTTCATTTGGGAATTTTTTTTTCTGGAAACGTTTCGCCAGCCAGTGACTTCTTCAGTCCAGTACAGAGAACGGTGGAAGATGAGAAGTTTAAGGTACACAGTCCCTCCGACCCTCCCAAATGCTGCACAAGTATCATAATTATCATGCTGTATGTAATTATCATGCTGTATATAATTATCATGCTGTATATAATTATCATGCTGTATGTAATTATCATGTTGTATGTAATTATCATGCTGTACGTAATTATCATGCTGTACGTAATTATCATGCTGTACGTAATTGTCATGCTGTACGTAATTATCATGCTGTACGTAATTATGCTGTACGTAATTATCATGCTGTACGTAATTATCATGCTGTACGTAATTATGCTGTACGTAATTATCATGCTGTACGTAATTATCATGCTGTACGTAATTATGCTGTACGTAATTATCATGCTGTACGTAATTATCATGCTGTACATAATTATCATGCTGTACGTAATTATCATGCTGTACGTAATTATCATGCTGTACGTAATTATCATGCTGTACGTAATTATCATGCTGTACGTAATTATCATGCTGTACGTAATTATCATGCTGTACGTAATTATCATGCTGTACGTAATTATGCTGTACGTAATTATCATGCTGTACGTAATTATCATGCTGTACGTAATTATGCTGTACGTAATTATCATGCTGTACGTAATTATCATGCTGTACGTAATTATGCTGTACGTAATTATCATGCTGTACGTAATTATCATGCTGTACATAATTATCATGCTGTACGTAATTATCATGCTGTACGTAATTATCATGCTGTACGTAATTATCATGCTGTACGTAATTATCATGGCTGCATACCCACTGCGTCGATGTCCACCTCGTAATTCGTAGCTGTCTCACCTACAGTGCATTAAAGACTATCCAGAAATTTGATTCCATCCCATCGTCTCATGTATACAACTTTGGTCATGTTGCATTTCTAGTACACATCCAGATATTCTTGTTGGGTCTCTGGATAAATTGATATTTGAGGTAACGAATAGACAGACTCAGCCACTCGGTCATGACCTAATACCATCCATTTCTCGGACTGCGTAACGATCCTAGAAATGCACCTAACTTGTTCCATTTGTCAACAGGCTTGTCTGTAATGTATCTCGTACCGTCTAAATACCTTGCACGCAGCTTCAGCAGTCTCCCGGCAACGATTGCCAAACCAAGGATGATACGGAGCTTTCACAATGGATATTTAAAGGATCCCAATGGAAATAAATCACTCTGACTTTTTTACTGGGTTATCTTAGGTTCTCTACACATATGTTGCTATGTATGATAATTAATGTAACTGTATTTGTGTATACCTGAATAATCTTATTGGCGAGGATATACTTATTTTTAAGATTAAAGAATATATTTAGGAAGGACATTCTTTTGTTCACTTAAATCAATTTCACAGACTAAAAGTTATCCTACCTCAATTCACTTCAAATTTAACCCATGTCTAAAAAATATTACCGTCTCCCAGGATGCCACCCACAACATTCGACTGCCACCGGACCGCTAAGTGAACAGCGGCAGCAGGTGTATTCTCTATAAGGATTACAATGCTGAGTTTACAGAAATTTGGTTATTGTTTGGTTTACATGTAGTAAAATTGTGATTACAGAGTGTACCACTAGAACGCTTAGCATGGCTAGGCATTTCGGGCATACTTAGTTTTATTCTTATATGTAAAATATTACAAATTATGAGGTAAGTTGGTATTATGGCTAAGTGACTAAATACTATTTTGTGAGTTTAGCAGTGTGAATGCTTTTGTTTTGGCACAGTATATAGTTTCAGTATTGGAGTATCACAGGATTCATTATATTAAGACTGAGATTAATATTTCTGTTTATGGTCAAATGAGTGTGCGAGTGTAATTGTGAACCACCAGGTGGTATTCGTGTAGTTAGTTGACGGGGTGTATCAGGGAGATAAGATGTTTTCTAATGGTAGTTTTGAAGGTGATGAATGTGTCTGCATTTCTAGAGTTCTCAGGTAGGGTATTCCAGATTTTAGGGCCTTTGACATACATTGAATTTTTGTAAAGGTTTAGTCGGACACGGGGAATGTCGTAGAGATGTTTGTTTCTGGTGTTATGCCTGTGGGTTCTGTCACAACTATCAAGAAAGCGTTTAAGGTCAAGGTTGATATTAGAGTTTAAGGCCCTGTAGATATAGATTGCACAGTAGTAAGTGTGGATGTACTGAACTGGGAGTAAGTTTAGATCTTTGAAGAGTGGGGGGGGTGTGCTGCCAGGGATGGGATTTAGTGATTATTCTTACTGCAGCTTTTTGTTGGGTTATTATTGGCTTTAGGTGTGTTGCTGCAGTTGATCCCCAAGCACAAATAGCATAGGTGAGGTATGGATAAATAAGCGAGTGGTATAGTGTGAGAAGGGCATTTTGCGGCACGTAGTATCGTATCTTGTAAGGAAATATGCCCATCGTTTCAAACCGTGCTGGAAATCGAACCACGGACACTCAGTATGTGCTAAGTGCGCTTCTAACAGAGCCACGAAATACCACAAGTCTCTTGATTTTTATGATCCTTCGGAGGCGGTAAGATTCAAGAGAAGGTCCGGCCAGTTTATTTTCTCCCAGAGCCAGAGTGCGCGAGACGATTCTTCACATCGGTCTACTGGAAACTTTAGTGTTATAAAAACAGCCTTGTTATCAGATGAGCCAAGATGATTGTTAAAGTCTTGTTAGTTGATGTCACCAATAATTATGTTTACAAACCATACCACGGACGGGGATAGAACCCGCGATCAGGGAGTCTCAAAACTCCAGACGGGTTCTATCCCCGTCCGTGGTATGGTTTGTTTGCAATCGTGTCATTACGATTTCGTGACTAATGTTTACAATTATGCCGAAGAAGTCTATATTATCCACAAGAATATTATTTGGGTCTGCTCGCTGCCACTGAGGTCTATATTGCACGCGCTAGAACAGTGATACCATGAATAATGCATAACCCGAAGAACATTATTCTATGTAGATGAATGGTTCAGAGAATCGACGTGTTGATAAATTAGACACATGTGCAACTCTTGGGTATCTTTATTGAGGAAACGTTTCACCACACAGTGGCTTCATCAGTCCATACAAAGGAGAATCTTGAAGAACAGGAGGAGAATGAGGTAATCAGTCCCTCAACCTTGAGTCGATGTGGTCAGTCCATCAATCTTGAATAGAATACAGCATACGTGCGGAGAAGGAGCTTATAAACCATTGGTAGGAGAGGTGCAGCAGTCATAAGCGGTGTCACATTTGTTCAATGTGGAAGTAGATCGTGCCCAAGAATTAGGCAAGCGAAGAAATCCCAAGTATTAAGATCCCAAGAAGTTGACACCGCTTATGACTGCTGCACCTCTCCTACCAATGGTTTATAAGCTCCTTCTCCGCACGTATGCTGTATTCTATTCAAGATTGATGGACTGACCACATCGACTCAAGGTTGAGGGACTGATTACCTCATTCTCCTCCTGTTCTTCAAGATTCTCCTTTGTATGGACTGATGAAGCCACTGTGTGGCGAAACGTTTCCTCAAAGATACCCAAGAGTTGCACATGTGTCTAATTTATCAACATTATTCTAGTTACGAATGACATCAGTCAGCTGAGTGTTTGCTGAAACATAGGGCAATGTCACCTACAACCTGGTCTGTCTCACCGCATCCATGAGCTGTAATATATTTCCTATTTCCAATTTCCTTCAACCTTTAATCAAGCAAACATTCTCGTTACATCTGTTCACTCTGTCTTCACTTTGCTTCTCATCAATGTTATTCTTTCTTCGTCACAGCTGTGGAGACAACGACGTCTGTGAGTCAAAAGAGATTCATCCAAGACAAGGGAGAGTCAGTTGGAGTCGACCCTGAGGATCAGCAGCGACAAACGCCCCTCAGCTTTGGATCGTATTTTGGTAAGTTACAAGTCTTCATTTCTGACTTCTTCTCTTAAAGAACTAGAAGAATTTATTGGAATGGCCGAACAATTAAGCGATTTCGCAGTTAAGAACGGACAATATTCATTTAGATTATTGTTATTTATTATAATCAACATTGTAAGTGCTAAGCCCGTAATAATACAGAGCTGCGAGGATGTGTGATGGCAGGAATGCGCGAAGGGTAGAAGTATGGATGTGAAAAAGTAGGGGCTGGAGGTGGGGAATAGTGCAAGAGAAAAAAAATCATTACTTACTCTCCATTAAAAATTCGAAGTCTGTGTCAAAGATGGGACTTTCAGCGAGGAGGTTACTGTGATTGGGCAGAATAGATGGAAGTGAATCCTGCATGCCCGCTGATAGATAGGACAATCTATTGATACGGTGGACTGATGGTGCTATCTGACAGTCCTCACAGATCTGTCCTGGTCG